CACTATCAGCTGCCTGTGCAAGGAGATGACACACACAAATAGAGGAATCCTTCCCTCCCCCCCCTCCTCCCCCCCCGCCTCCGGGAAAGGAAAAGTTGTGATTTGGCTTTGAATGACTCTTTTGGTACCTTTCACTGTTGTCGTCGTGACTAGGCACAAGGGTACACGGTTGTAGCTGAGAAGCTCAATTGGTTTCGGTTCCTTTCACATTTCCGGTCTGTACACAGAGGAGCCTACTTTATGCAGCTGCGCACGACGACAGTGAGGAAGTTGCTTCCAGAGTAAGTGTCATATACCCCCCTTGATGATGTAGTTGGGGAAGGGGGGGGGGGGGGGGGGGGGGAGAGAAGGGGAGAGGGGTGGGGTCTAAACGTTATGGAGCAATCAAACCTGTGTAGGGTTTCCTTTTCCTTTTCCCATCCTTCCTTCTGTAGGTTTGCTGGTAATAGGAATATCCAAAAAAAGTTAAAAAAAACTCTCAGCCATATTTTACCATTTCTCCGATATTTCCTGGTGATAGCACGACGCGCCGTTTCAATTCCTTGATATGATATGCGACCCGCACTTCACGACTTTTGTACCAGATATGATATGCGACCTGCCTCGCAACTTTTAAGTTGTAAATTTTAATACCATAGTTTCCAAAACAAAGTCATGCCGCCCCGTCGGAGACATCTCCCAGCTGTCCATCCAACACCCCTGGAGCCCCTCCACCCAGCTACCTACTTTGTTCTTCTTAGCTTCATTTTTCATCTTCTGTATTTCGTGTCTTTTTTTAGGGGGCTATGCGAGGGCATTTTGAAGGGCTTATTACTCCTTTCGATCGCGCATCTGCATTTTGAGAGGGCTATGGGAATCGTTCGCTTACCTTTGTTCTGACATTTTTGGATTTTTTGACATTTTTTGATTTTTTTCTCTTGCATACGAAATGGGGGGTAGACACCGAATTTTCGGGGAGGCGTCATTGCATTTTTTTGTTCGGAAAGTTTTCTTTGGCAAGTCAAATACAAGAGAGACAAATTATGAATAATATCAAATAGACATCCAGATGGGCATGTGAACTGTTTGTATGACTGCTCTGATGGAAGTAATCCAGGCTGGGAAAGTAATCCGGGCTCTCCGAGTCACGTTGTTTTCCCGGGCGGCCCGGCCGTGCGAGGACCAGGCAAGGTCCCAGCAAAAACAAAAAAACAAGCAAACAAACAAAAAAGAGATTCCCGAAAAAAACTATGTTACCCAGAAAAATAAACTGGACAGCTTTTGCCTCCGGGTCACATCCAAAATCTTTAGCAAATTTAAAATTAAAATGAAAAATATATATATTTTCTTTTTTTTTTCCAGCCTGGCCGGGCAAGTGGTCCCGGGCCACTCTGGTAGCCTAGATATAAATAACGTTATGTACAGTGTTGCACACGCCGACCGTCGGCGACCCTTGACTGGTCGGCTGCTGGCCCGCCGACCGGTCGGCTGTTTGGCACCTACTGGTTGGGGGTCGTCGGCACCCCGCAAAAAAAAAAAAAAAAAAAAAAAAAA